AAAATAAAATAATTAAATAATTTAAAAATTTAAAGAATAAAATATTATAAATATTATTTAAATAAATTATTAAAAATATAAAATATAAAATAAAATTATATTTACAACTGCACTGGTACTTTCCTAAATAATATAGATATTTTAGAATTCTCTTTATTCAGATGAGAGCAACGCTGTTACCCTGCGTTCACATCATCTTTCTTTCTACGGTTTGTGACGTGTTATATTTCAAGTCATTCATTTTTTAATAATATTCTTATTACTAATATTTTTTAGTTTGTTTAAAATTTTTAACTTCAATTTATTATATTTAATTTTTTGTATTCCTTTAAATAATTAAAAGATTATAGAGTAGAGAATTAATAATATACAAAAATCTTAAAACTAATCACTATTATTTAGTTTAACTTTAAGATTTATTTACTGAAATGGGCACCAAAATATGATAAAATAAAAAAAGGATGGAGCAGTTTAGAAGAAAAAGGTTTAGAATGGCTGCAACCTGTGTCAAACGCACACTGCCGTCTGCCGTCCTCATTAAACGTGTTGACGGATGCTTTTGACCTCAAAATTTTCTGAATGTTTCGTCTATAAAAGAATTATCTTATTTTAATATAAATGTTTCTGAATGGTTTTTTTATTCTAAGTAGTACTTTGTAAAATAATTTTTATTCATTTTAAAATAAAAATTAATTTTATTTGATGAGCTGTATTAATTTGAAAGTAATTTTAGAAATATAAAATTATTTTGAAACTATGTTCCTTTATTTATTTTTTCTGCTTTGTGTTTCTAGTGTGGGATTTGATTTTCTTAAATTCTATTCCCATTGTGCTCCTTCAGCCAACAACAATTTCGAGTTGATGAATATTATTGTAAATTTACGACTAAAGCAAACTGTGTATTGCACCGCCTCTGCCCAAAACTTCTTTGGCATGTTCTTCCCTTTCAACATAGATCGAACCATATCAAGAATAGTTCGATTCTTTCGTTCCGCTACACCGTTTTGCTGCGGAGAATATGGGGCAGTCAAGAAACGCTTGATTCCATGTTCCTCGCAGTATTTGTTGAACTCAACAGAAGTGAACTCGCCTCCTCTGTCAGATCGGACTGCTTTGATGAATTTAGTTGTTTCTTTCTCCACCATTACTTTGAATTTCTTGAAGGTTTCAAACACTTCTAACTTCTCCTTCAAAAAATAAACCCATGTCTTTCTTGAGAAATCATCAATGAAAGAGACGAAATATTTCTTACCACTGAATGATTCTGGAGTTATTGGCCCACACAAATCGGTATGGATCAGT